GTTGTAATGTGACAAAATATGGAAAAGTTCAAGGGGTATGAATACTTTTGCAAACCACTGTACCTATTGTCAGTTCTTAGGATCAGAACAAACGTTGGGAAGCACACATTTAGCTATGCAGCCCCTTTCACATGGAATAACTTTCAAAGTGATCTGAAACTACAGCTACTCTTACCTATAGGTCAATTTAAATCTACATGAGCTTCATCTACCAACTCTGACCTGTCATTGCTAGCCATATGTTTTATGAAATTGAGTACGCTTTGTGCTGTGTTTTTATGCTATATGTTTATGTTTTGTATTTGTTTTGTATTTGTTATATATCTTTTGTGATTTTTTTCTGTGTTATTTGGATATGTTGTTTGTATGATGTTTTGTTTCTTCTTTTATCTTTTCCTTATGGGTGTCTCTGGTACCCGCCAGGCTGACATTGCAAATAAGAAGTTCTTCTTAATGTTTTCCTGATTAAATAAAGGTTAAGTAAAATAAATAAATAAATAAATAATTGCATGTTATTGGCTGGGGACATGATGCCCATGAATACTGTGTCTGTTAAACAAAATGGACCAAAGATACTGCATCAAATCATAACCACTTGGTGAGTGAAAAAAATGTTGGACAACTACAAGGGGCATTTTTCAGGGATTTATTTTTGTATGAGCCTTTTATGAAATTTTTATGACTTACTGTGTGCTTTTTATTTATTTATTTTAATTTTGTGTGTTTGTGCTGTTTTGCAGCTTCTCTGTCTGTTGGGACTGAAAGAGTTCATTATGTCTAAAGGAACTGTGGTTCTGGCTTACAGCGGTGGACTGGACACCTCCTGTATTCTAGTGTGGCTYAAAGAGCAGGGCTACGACGTCATCGCATACTTGGTGAGTTTCTAGTAACAGGTGTGAGCGCAACAGGTGGCTTGGTTCACAACCAGTCATTATTAGGTTCCAGTGAAGAGTTACGGTCAGCTGCTTTCAGTAAAGTTGACTCTAAGCTTTTCTCCAAAAACAACAACAACAAAAGAACAACTATTGCAGGATTTGGCTTCATAATGCCTGTATAAATCTAGCTGGATTTACGGTTTACCCCCTGGGTAAAAGAACTGCAAGGGAGGCAGATTTTTTCTGCTGAGCTACATTTGGTGGCAGGGGGATGGTCAGTGTGGCACGCAAGGTCCAGACCCCTCTGGCTCTTGCTTTCTCTGGGAGTAAGACACTGATTCAAGGCAATGTTCAAATACYAACAGGTGCAGACAGATGACTGAGAGTAATCCTTACTTCTAGGAATGCTGGACCTTTAGTTGTTAGGTTAGTTTATAAGAAAATTGTTCTGTTTCAAAACTCAGGATGTCTGACAGCGTCCTGAGTAACGTTTTATGTTTGTTTTAGCTGTGAAGAAGTGGTGATAAATCTCCTGCAGTTGTGACCTGAACTGTAAACTGTCAGTTGAAACACATGCTCAGTCATGCACTGCTGTTTAAAACACTGAACCTTTCACACATCTCTCGCTTTTCACCTTGTTAAACGAGTTTCTGTCACTTTGAATTTCCTTACTTTTAGGCCAATATCGGACAAGATGAAGATTTCGAAGCTGCCSGGAAAAAGGCGGAAAGCCTCGGTGCAAAGAAGGTGAGAAACCACAGGATGTGGTGTTTGGAGTCGGAGTCTTCTGAGTAATTTTACATTTTATTCAGCTTCAGTATGAAATGATTTGATTTCCCAGAAACATGGAAATAATCCTGTCAATTATTGCGTGTCAGAAGGTCACTCAACTAGTTGGATTACCAGTAAAACGCTCTTTGTTTCCTGAAGGCAGAAATGATGGCACTCAACCTAAAAGAAGATTTCTTGTTCTACAAATTACTGCAAATATGTGTTTGGTCTGGTTTTTGTGTGAGGAAATGTTTCTTATGTTCCCATCACAAGGCTTTTTTTTTTTTGTTGCCTTCTTTCCTGAACATGCTTCACAACCTATGTATTATGTAATCTATCTGAATGTTGAATAATGAGGTTAAGTCAYGCGACACGGAGGCCTGTTTCCTGTCTGTGCGTCTGCTCCTGTCCAGGTTTTTATTGAAGATCTGCGCACAGAGTTTGTGGAAGACTTCATCTGGCCTGCCGTTCAGGCCAACGCCGTCTACGAGGACCGCTATCTGATGGGCACTGCGATCGCTCGGCCCTGCATCGCCCGCCGTCAGGTTGAGATCGCGCTCAGGGAGGGCGCTCAGTTTGTCTCCCACGGTGCCACTGGGAAGGTAAAAATCAAATACAAGATTACAGGACTTCATATTGTTTAAGAACAAGTCCAGATTCTGCTGATGGAACTGAATCTCAAAGCATTTTGAAACACATTTTTGCATTTCCCCCCTTCTATAGAATTTGTAWAACAAAAGTAAAATAATGAAGTGAGGGTAAAAAAAGTGACTGATCCAAACATCTTTTCCTTTAAGTCACCACAGTACGTGGACTTTGTATTTTTGAGGTTGAATATTAATCTATTTTAACCATTCGTTTCAAATCCTCCCTTCCACGTTTCTTAATTTATTCAGCGTTTAACATTTTCTTCTATTCAGTTAGCTATTCATTAAGCATCTGGGTTTCCTGCTTTTTTTCTTCATGCTGCATGAATAAACAGCTGAATAAAATGAATCTCAGCGTTTCCTTTAKAGCCCTGCCAGATAAATTATCCAAGTTATTTCTGAAATATGTAGTCTAAATCTTATCAGCTGGCATTGAAGATTTGTTTTTCTTCATTTAATGATTATAAACTGATCGTTCATAGTTTTCATTCTACTTCAGCTCATGAGCAAAAAAAACCCACATGGCTCATCATTGGTTAATTTTTGTGCTTCTATGATGAGATTTCCACTGTGATAACAGCTTAAAACATTGCATTGAGAGTGTATACGAAAAAACAMAGGCATGACTTCACCCAAAAAATTATAAAGGAGAGCTAAGATGCAAGCAATAAATCTCTTTAGACGTATTAGTTCAGCAGATTCACCCCTTTAGCTTTATGAACTAAGTGATTTTAATAAAGTCTAAATGTATGGTTTATTTATCAACTCATCATGTTTGACAAAAATGTACCTCTTTGTAGTTTTTCTCTCTAGCTGATCTTATTATACAGTACCTTTCAAAAGATTTGTTTTGATGTATATTTTTATGTAGTGTCCCGACTTGGTCTGTAGGTGGAGACAAACACCAAAATATTTTTGATACGGGACTTCAGCCCTCCTGCTGCCCTTGGGTCAAAAATACCTGCTCTTCACTTTTGATTGATTGTTTTTTGGATGTAAACTTAGAAGATTCAGCTCCTTGCCACACATTATTTTTTTTATTTTGATATAATTGATGAAATTACAGAGAAATAGATATATAAAGAAAATATCTGGCTTGATGAGGGTTTGACTATATTTTTTATGTTTTTTTTGTACATTTAGGTCAACAACAAAGACATGGCCTCCTGTGCTTTCTGTGTCTTTGTTTGTTTGTTTGTTTTTTAGTGGAAGTATATTATAGTGACTGTACAAACCTGAATACTTAAATATCTAAAATATGGGAAACCGCGTTGTTTTTAAACAAGTTCTTCCAGTTATTTGATCTGCTGTTGCAGATTTTATATAAAGTGTTAATATCAAAACTAATTTTGACACATTAAAGATAATAAAAATGTTTCCACCCTTCAGGGAAATGACCAGATACGCTTTGAGCTCACGTGCTACGCTCTCTACCCCAAAGTTAAGGTTAGTTTGTTGACTTGTTTTTATTTCCAGGCAAGGAGAAGCTTTACAATGTGAAATATTGTTGCTGCAGCTGTTTTTATTTGTTCTGCTCAGATCATCGCGCCGTGGAGGATCCCCGAGTTTTATAATCGCTTCAAGGGAAGAAAGGACCTGATGGAGTATGCACAGGTGGGTGCAACGCTGCCACAAAATACTTCTAATTTGTATAATTCAGTCTGTAAGCTGAGTGGAAGAACTGAGATATCGCTTAAAAATAAAAGTTAAAAGTATTTCTACAAACAGCCTGGCTAAATGTTTATATGATAAAATTTGTTAGTCATGTTTGTTCAAGTTCATAAAAGGTTATAGTTTGAAGAATACATTATTGCTACAAATACAAGTGATTGTTTTATTGTTGCATAAAAATCCAAACTTCATTTAATTAGTTGAATCTCTCAATTTTTATTTCCGCAAGTGGTCTGTCCACATGAATTCATCCAGCTCTCACCTCTGACTGCATCCCTACTTTTTACTTGAAATGTAATTTCAGGTAAAAGTGGTTTGATTCATTCTAGGTTTACATTTAGTTCACAAACACTTTCTGCTGTCTGATCCTGATAAAAAGTTTTCCCACTGGAGGGTGCTCATGATGTTCTGTGAGAACGTCCCTGCTGCTGTTTGCAGTGTTTTGTGAAATAATGAAACAATAAAAGAAGGAAGATGTTGACTTTTCTTACAAATACACAGAAACTGTTTGCTGTTTGACTCAGAGAATCAAAAGTAGGGAGGGGAAGATGGATCTGTTAGTGACGCCGAAATGGGCTTAAAGTAATTTTCACGTTCATTTCTTACAGCCTCAAGTTGTTTTCTTTTCCAGATGAACATTAAGTAACATAAGCTTTTTTTTTCTTGTCGTTGTTTTTGTTTTTGTGAAATTGTAGGAACATGGCATCCCAGTTCCCGTTACTCCTCGGGCTCCCTGGAGCATGGATGCCAATCTGATGCACATAAGGTGGGTATGACTGATGGGATGTTTTGGATTGTTTGTTTTGGTTAAAGATAAGTCAAACTTAAACTTATAATCATATTTATTTATAGCTATGAGTCTGGAATCCTGGAGAATCCCAAGGTAAGTTAACTAACCTATTCTTAAACTTGCATAGAATACAAGAAAAAAACTCATTTGCATATATTTTGAATTTAAGTTGTCATTTTGCAATAATGTACTTATCTTCTCATCTTAAATACCTGAATGGATTTGATTCGCATAAATGTTTTTTTAACTTAATGACTGACTCAAAAGTTCAACATCTAAAATCACTGTCTGTTTCAACACATCAAAACAACTGCAACTTCATTGCAGAGGACCAATTTTCACGTTTCTTTAAATGAAACACATTTCTAGAGATGCTGAAGTGTTTTTTTTTAAATCCTCCATTCTGCGGATGCATTGGTGTCTTCTTTGAGAGAAACAGCGCTCGCTCTCTCACGGAATCGCAAGCGAGACATGAGTCTGATCTCTGCTGAGGTCGGAGGTCAGCGCGGTGCATACCGGTCGCCCCGCGCGACCTTCAGAGCGCCCATCCTTTGGTGGATGTGTCTGCGTCTGTGTCTCTCCTCGCCCTGGGTCCTCGCCGGGCCCTGGGAAGAGCCTGGGACACACAGACGTTGACTTGTCGTCAGCAACGCTTCGACTAATTCCCGATTTCATGGGAGCCAGGGAGGGGGAAGGGTTAGGGCGTTGCACCCAGCTGGGGCCTCCTGAGTTCCAGCCCCGGCTCCTCGGGACCTCATTGTTCCTGCGGTTGTGCTGCCGCAGGCGGCGACGTGGGAGGGGAGCCACTTCATCTTGACACCGTGACACCAAAATGTCACCAGTAACAGTAAAGTACAAAGATAGTGTGCCAGACAGATGAGTCCCCAATGCTCAGGGTGTTGTGGAGAGACGAGGGGCAGGGCCACTGTATCTCTCTGCCCCTTTCCCACCCTTTTGCTGCCCCCTCAGTGTCCTGTCCTTCAGTCGTCCTGTGGAGAAAGGTTTTGAAAAGAACGAGACGACGGCATAGCGATGTATGATGATAGCATTGCGCCACAGATTTTTATTCAGAGGCTTTGCTTTGGACCGTTACTCCAATATTGAATCGATTAAGGGCATTAAATACAATGAAATATTTATGGTGCACAGGTCCTAAGTGGTAAAAGGATTTGAATACATTAACTAATCACAAACTTTTATTTAGAGCTTTGAAAGAGGCTTAATATTTGAGTGATTTGGAAAGCCATGACCCTTTGTTCCTCTGTTTAAAACATCTTCAGGTATGTTTATTAATTTAAGTTCAATGTCAAAACTGGCAAATTATAAGCACAGTTTCTTTAAATGAATGTAAAACAATTGGCATAAGTTTATGTACACCCCTTGTGGTCACCAATGTCATGAATTTCAGGCTGTTAATAATTTATTTGAGTAGTTTGAGCACAATTCTTAATTTTAAAAGCAATAATTGTTTCAATTTTTGCTGATTTTCTCCAATCCGCACAGATCAGAACACTCAAAAAAAAAAAATATAGACCCAAACTTTCAGACAAAAAGTTGGCGAACTGTCTCTTAGCTTCTAGGATCCTTTTAACTGATCTATAATACATATCTCTTCTTTAAATATTTGCTGCATTTTGTTTTGCTTTCTGTTATAATGATCTCACAAAGCTTCAACAACGTTGAGGTTTAGGTTCTCGGAAAGCCAAACTATGACTGATGATATGCTGCCGTGTGGTTTTCTCTTTTGTTTAAAACCAGCTGCAATCAGATGTTTGCACAAAAATCTCTGTGTGTGTTTTGGTTTTCAAAAATCTATTAATTTGTAGAAAAATCACCAACACTATTGCCTTAAAAGCAGCTAACCCTGTTTTTCCTCAGGCTTCTCTTCTGTCCTCCTCTGTTCAAACAAATTGAACCCAAAGAAGTTTAAATTTGTTGCTGCTGCATGTTTGGTAAAAAAAAAAAAAACTTTTTATTTAGTGATAAATCTGGTTCACAACAGGTCAGTGTAGCCCCTGGACTCTCTTATATTTCAGTCATGTTCATGCATTATGTCTAGAATTTGGTTTGGTGATGTTTTTATTAAAACAAAAACAAAAAAAAAAGAACTTGCCTGAAAAGTGTTGCCCTCTGAATGGCAGCACAACCCTCTATGTATCGTATTTATTAATACTATGCATGACTTCACCTTCACACCATCATAGATGTGGGTTTTTGACTGTAATAACAAGTCAGGCTGCTCCTCTCTTCTCTAGCCTGAAGGATGCGACGTCTGTAATTTCCTAAATTATTCTCAGATTTTTTTTATTCCTGGGACATCAGGGTGAGGTTTCAACTTTAGCTCAGTCTCGTTTTCAATTAGCTCAGACTCATGAAAAAAAACTGTTTCATGGGATTTTGGGAGGTTTAACGCAGTTGTGGTACGTCATAGTTTTCAGAAGAGTTTCTGAACCCAACTAGGAATTATTTTTATTTTTTTAACCAGAATCTTGTCAGTTTTAATACTATTCTGTCAAGATTCCTACAAATTTTTAAAATCATCATGATGATTTTTTGTGTTTTAGATCCCAAAACTGTACCTTTTTTTTATACATCTATCTAGATGTTACTGGAAGTTTCGTTTTTCACACAGTTACTCAAAGATTTATCTACTTAGTTACCATGTTTTGTGTTTATTTGTTTGTTTTAAAGACTAAATACCACGTCCCTAGGGTTGGCTTTACATAAGTTGCAGCCGTAGGCAGGGCCGGATTAACACTTCGCTGTACCCTGGGCAACAATATTCAAGGGCCCCATCATCACGACCCCAGGATTACCACTCTGGCAAAATACAGAGTAAATTATTGCAATATATAGTAAATATACTCAATACTTCAAATTCTAAGTGTATTTTGATGTACAAATGCTCAGAACTACAAATACACTGCTGTGTCCTCTTGTCAAGGACACTCCTTCACATGATGCTATAAAAACAAAACACATCAGTATAATCTGGTAAACATGACCCACTACTTTGAGATCGAGGGAAGTGTCCTCCATTTACACAAAAGTAACGCTTGACATTAAGCAACCCTCTCAGTCACCTGACCCACCTCATGCTGACTGACCAATGAGAAGATCTCAGCTCACGTTCACAGTGACAGGCAGCCTCTCTGTGCAGCACAAGAGCTCCAACAGACAGTTTAACAAAAGCAGGAGAAAACCAGATATTTTGCTGGTGCCTTCACTCAAGGGTGTAACCATCATCTCAGAAAAGAGGGGGGCACATTTTTTTATTGAGTGATTTATCATCCTCTCTTATTAAATCACAACTCTCCTTAGTGGCTAAAACACATATACAGTGGTTTGCAAAAGTATTCATACCCCTTGAACTTTTCCATATTTTGTCACATTACAACCACAAACATAAATATNATCGGAGGAGTCTTCGGTTTTGGACGTCCTTCGTCGCGGCGCTGTGACGTATGCGGCCGACAAATCCGACCTTCGGAGGACCCGGCCTGCCGTTTTGGACACAGCCATTATATACAGAACCTATGCATGTAATCTGACTTATAGTGTCAACTTTTGGACTTATGGTGACAAATGTTTTTTTTTGTCACCATAACAGTGTCATTTTATGTTATAAAGGCTGCATGATGCTCTGTGTTTATTATGAGTAGACCTATCACTAAATCAGAAAACATGAAACACCCCTCTAAATTCACTAAATTCTTTGGCTAAAATTTATAATGTTAGTTTTAAACATGCAGTTGAGGGTCATCATTATTTGGCACAATGGGATGTGTTACAATTAAAAATAAAAACAATAAACAATACAAAAATATAAAGCACCCCTAAAGTCATTGGATATGATAAATTGTGACACATTAATTAATCTTATCTCAGCTGTAGCAGTGAGTGTAAAAACTGGATGATGGAACTAGATTAATGGAAAAATCTGTCTCTGAAGTAATTAAATCAAGTATTAATTTAAGTAGGTAAAAGTATGTTTAACAACCTGGTAAAATACACCAGAATGCAGTAAATGGCGTCTATTTTGTCCAAAATTTTCTGGGGGAGGACCCCCAGACCCCCCAACAGTGTGTCCCCCGTTTTAAAATGGTTCTGACACCCATGTTTATAAGGACATAAGGAAATGACCAAAAAACAAAGATCTGCAGAAACTTTCAGGTAAAAAATGATGTAATTTTCCTGGCCACCCCTGTGTGAGTAGTGATCCAAGTCTGGCCACCCCTGGGAAAAATGTCTGGCTCTGCCACTGCCCAGATTTACAAATCATGTTTAACCAGTTTATTTTCTTACCACAAGGTTCTTGTTCAAGATCTTTTATATCTATTTTTAAAGTGGAAAAAAGAGCAATACAAAATCAAAAATTGGACAAGTTTTGTTTTTAGCTAAAACAATTAGGAAAAATTGTCTCATTATTGCTGTTTTCTTCTTTTTACAGACATTCCAGTTGTTGAACTACTAACCTGGTAAGTTGCCTCTGATTCCAAACACGAGCTGGGGAAAATTACTAAGGGATGGTGCATAAAATAAAGCCAGCACCGCAGCACATCAGTGTTATGACATTACGCCTGAGATAATGTCATGCTTACACTAAGAGAGACTGTGATGTTACGCTACATCTACTTGTTCAGTATTTAGCTGCCAGATGGTGTGTCACGTACAAAATGATACTGTTGATGGAGTTCTAGTGGGAAATCACAGGGTTGTATAATTCATAATCATGCATGCAACATATTGGATCAGCTTAGTTAATGTTTATGGAGTGGTTTAAATGAATGTTGCTGCCCAATTCAAATCTAACTGTTTGGAGCCAACACCMCGATTTACAACAAAGCTGAGTCATTGTGTAAAATGTAAATTAAAACAAAGCAAATATTTGTAAATTTCATAAACCCATATTTTGTTAACAATGGAAGTCAACAAGAATTTACAATTTTTTAAATTAAAATTCTTTTTTTTTTTCTTTTAGAAAAAACATTGGAAATTCAAATTTTTGGGCAACACCTCTTGGAAAGTCGAGATAAAGCCATGCCCACTGTTCTTTTATAACTTCTAACCTGTAGGACAGGGCTATTCAACTA